AGAGAGAGAGAGAAAGAGAAAGAGAGAGAGAGAGACGCAACATCTCCAAACAACTTTCCAGCGCGAGGAAGACGCACCGCGGCCTGAAGCTCCTTCTGTCCACTGGAGATTTTCTTTCTTTCTTTTCTTTTTTTTTTAGAAGTTAGAGCCTCTCCGCCGGTGTTGACTGGCTGTTGCTAAAGGCTTCGACCGCATTTAGATTTTGGGAGACATCCGATCTGTGGACAGAAAGGAGTCCAAGTGAGCGGCTCGGTGTGCGCACTGACTCGGCGCTCAGCTCTGCCTTACCCTCCACAGCCCGCTGGTCCCGGGGTTTTAGGCTCAAAAAGACTCTATTTTTAAAAAAAGAAACTTAAGCTGTGAGATGACCCTGTCTGGAGGCAGCGAAAGAGCCAGCGACATGTCCGGCCAAACTGTGCTCACGGCGGAGGACGTGGACATCGACGTGGTGGGAGAAGGAGACGAGGAGGGCATGGAGAGGATGGACAGCGACTGCGACAGTCCCGGTGTGGACATCCTGCACGACCTCCGCGGGGACGCAGGAGATGATGAGGTGGAGGATGAGATCGAGGTGGAGAAGGAGGAGGAGGAGGAGATGAGGTCCGGTGGCAGTCCGTGCTGCGAGAGCTCCGGCGAGGGCGAGAATGGCACCGGCAAAGGAGAGGGTCACGACGGGAGCGCAGCGTCAGGGGGTTCGATCCAAAAGTCCAAAAACAGCCTGGTGAAACCGCCCTACTCCTACATCGCCCTCATCACCATGGCCATCCTCCAGAGCCCGCAGAAGAAGCTCACACTCAGCGGCATCTGTGAGTTCATCAGCAGCCGGTTCCAGTACTACAGGGAGAAGTTCCCCGCCTGGCAGAACTCCATCAGACACAACCTGTCCCTCAACGACTGCTTCGTGAAAATCCCACGGGAGCCAGGCAACCCCGGCAAGGGCAACTACTGGACCCTGGACCCGGCGTCAGAGGACATGTTCGACAACGGCAGCTTCCTCCGGCGGAGGAAAAGGTTCAAGCGGGTCCAGCCGGACATGCTCAGGGACCAGACCGCGCTCATGATGCAGAGTTTCGGGGCGTACGGCCTCGGGGGCCCATACGGGAGGCACTACGGGATCCACCCGGCTGCGTACTCTCACCCGGCGTCTTTGCAGTACCCTTACATCCCCCCCGTGGGTCCTATGTTGCCCCCGGGCGTCCCGCTTCTGCCCTCGGCGGCGCTGGAACGCAAGGCGCACCAGCCCACTCTCCACGCGGGCCCTCAGT